GAAAAGTTCCTAGGCTCTAGGACCTGTGTATGAGCAGGTATCTTCAGGGCATCATAGGGAAAAAACTGACACATCTGACTGCATTGTCTACTTCAAAAATACCCTCTAGTGGAAGACACTATGAATGGGCTTAGGAAACAAGAAACAGGGGGCACCTGGGTGGCTCAGTTGTTGGGCATCTGCCTTTGGCTCATGTCATTGTCCCAGAGCCCTGGGATTGAGCCCCACGTCAGGCTCCCTGCTCACCAGGGACCCCACTTCTCCCTCTCCCACTCCCCCTGCTTGTGTTCCCACTCTCACTGTGTCTCTGTCAAATAAATAAATAAAATCTTAAAAAAAAAAAAAAAAGAAACAAGATGGAGCAGAAGGAAATGCCGACAAGAGAAGACAGGGCACTTGATAGAGAACAAACATGCTAGAACAAGAATAGGAAGGGGATGAATAAGTTATCCATGGGAGAACACATATAGAGGGGAACAAATATCACGGAAATTGGAAGTAAAACCATTTTAACAGCTTTATTGAGGCTAACTGACATAATACAAGGAATGACACATATTAAAGTGTGCAACTTGGTGAGTTTTGACATATGTGTAACATACCTGTGAAACCACCTTCACAGTCACGAGAGACCATGACCAGCTCCCCTGCGGGTTCCCTCCTGCCACTTCGCGCCCTGACTCCCAAGCACCTAGCCTTTGGCACGGTGGTTCATTTGGGTACTTTCTGGTGTTGGCTCTTGCTTAGGTCTGCTCTGAACACGCCTGTTTGCCTCTGCGTGGTCATTCATACGTGTTGCTGTTGGGCGGACGTCCACAGCATGTATTGTAGTCGGGGTCCCAGGGGATGCAAACCCTTGGTTTTAGGACTTAATGGAGCTGGTTTTCCCCCTTTGGTGCAGAAGAGTTAACACAGCAGTCTAAGGCCGGCTTGCGAGGCTGGCCCTCCGCGGCGTCTGGGACTGCACTGCGGGCTCCGGCCAGCCTCACTGCTGGGGGGCTCGGGTCCCTGAACCATCCGTGCGGACGCGAGGTTCAGGCTGAGCACCTGCTCCCCTCCCTGAGTCAGGGTTCCCGGCCTGAGCCGGGCAGACGAGCCCACGAGACCAACCCGCACAGAGAACCCGGGCGCTGGGTCTCTGCCAGCCCCCGGAGACCACAGCACATGTGCATGGTCCCGTCTCGTTTGTTGGAAATAAGTGTGTCCTGTGGGACATCCTTGGAGAGGGCTCTGGAAGCTCCCACCCCCGCTACCCATGCGGCCATGGGGACGACTGTCTGCTGGGGTCCTCCTGGCACACTCCTGCACCGGGGTGCTCCTGGGGCCCTGGATGCTCTCTGTAATGACAGCACTTGCTTTGTTCATTCTAACTGTTCTGCTGTATTTGCCTTACATTATGGTTTTAATCATGTTCCTCAGATATCTAATGACATTGAGTACTGGCTAACTGCATATCCTGTTTTTTTGGAAGGCCTGTTTTGCGCATTTAAAAAATTTGGTTCAGGTGCCTGGGTGGCCCAGTCAGTTAAGCAACTTAAGCATCTGCCTTCCGCTGGGGTCATGATCCCGGGGTCCTGGGATCGAGCCCCGCATTGGGCTCCCTGCTCAGTGGGGAGCCTGCTTCTCCCTCTCCCTCTGCCTGCCCCTCACCTTACTTCTGCTCTGTCAAATGAAAAAATAAAATGTTTTTTAAAAAGATCTTTAAAAAATTGGGTCTTATTTTTAAAAAATATTTTTAAAATTTATTTGATGAGAGGGACACCAGTTTGTTAAGCGGCTGCCTTTGGCTCAGGTCGTGATCCTAGGGTCCTGGGATCGAGTCCCACATCTGGCTCCTGGCTCAGCAGAGAGCCTGCTTCTCCCTCCCACTCTGCCTGCTGCTCTCCCTGCTTTGTACTCTCCTTCTGTGAAATGAATAAATAAAACCTTAAAAAAATTAAAATTTATTTGATGAGAGAGAAAGAGAACACAAGTAGGCAGAGAAGCAGGCAGAGAGAGAGGGGGAAGCAGGCTCTCCGTGAGCAGAAAGCCCATGTGGGGCTCGATCCCAGGACCCTGAGATCCTGACCTGAGCCAAAGGCAGGGGCTTGACCCACTGAGCCACCCAGGCGCCCCGGGTCATATTTTTCTCATGGATTTGTAGGAGTATATTTTTGTGAAATTAAAAAAAAAATATATATATATATATATAATATATATAAATATGTTTTGCAAATGGCCTCATCCTCTCAGCCAGGCTGGAGACCCAAGGGAGAGTTGACACTGTAGCTTGAGTCCCAAGGCCATGTAGAGGCTGAATTCCCTTGAGGAGAATTTCCTCTAGGGACAGGTCTTTTCTCTGAATGCCTTCAACTGGTTAGGTGAGGCCCACCCACACCCGGAGGGCCCACGTTCTACTCCAGACCAGCTCATTTATTTATTTATTTATTTATTTATTTATTTATTTAAGATTTAATTTATTTATTTGGCAGACAGAGATCAGAAGTAGGCAGAGAGAGAGAGGAGGAAGCAGGCTCCCTGTGGAGCAGAGAGCCCGATGCGGGCTCGATCCCAGGACCCCGGGATCATGACCTGAGCCGAAGGCAGAGGCTTTAACCCACTGAGCCACCCAGGCACCCCTGGACCAGCTCATTTAAATGTTGCTTTCGTCTAAAAAAGTACCTTCCCAGCAACATTCAGACTAGCGTTTGACGAAGTACCTGGGTACTGTGGCCTGGCCAAGCGGACACGTAAGATTATCACAGTGCTGTGCTTTTTAAGAAAATCTGCCTACCCAGAATCATATTCTAAATTTTCTTATATGATTTTTATAATTTTACCTTTCCCCCCCTAGGATTCCATTTTATCTGTATCAAGACCAGGCACAACTACCCCATGGCTCTAAACACTGGGGGAGCGTTACCCTTGAAAGCGGTAATGGGGGCGGGGACACACATGATGAGGGTTGCAGGGCGGGCTCTGCTCTTGGTCCAGGTGCCAACGATGGTGGTGTGCTGCCTTTGTGGACACTCATCCCACCGCCTGCTTGTACTCTGTGCACTTACGCGTGTGTATTTACGCTTTGATGAAGAGTTTAAGAAGCATGGTAACGAGAAAGGGAAGAAAGCAGCTCCCCCCCGCAAGTCTACAGGACCTTCCAGCAGCCGTACACGGAGTAGAATCCGTGGTTGTCACCCCAGAAGGGGCTCCTATTCTCCGACCCCAGGATGGTGGCCCTGTCGGCACGGCGCGGAGCCCGACATCCTTGCCTGCGACTCAGAATTCTGAAAGGACAGCCAGCTCTAAAAGCACAGGCCTGACCCCTGGGACTGTGGCCCTTTCTAGGCTGGAGACCGGGTGGTTTTGTTCTTTCTGGTCCTGATGCCGAGGACCCACGCGTCCGGGAGGCCGGGGCACGGCTGCGCCACCTGCTGGTCCCAGCACCTCCCAGATGAGTGCCCCTTGGAATGAGCTGGTTTTCAGTATGGAGGGGTGGGGGTGGAGGGGCGCGCTGGGAAAGCCCCCGCGTTGTGGGGTTTTCAAGTTACCCAGCCTGGGGCTAAGCCTCTGCTGCTGGGACACAGGAGCCCTCAGAGCGGGTGAGATCGTTCCTGCCTGTGGCAGAGCGGGTCAGCCTATCTGTATGGGACACCTCCCTCTAGGGCCCACTGGGTGCCGGCAACACCGTGGGGTGGGCGCTGCGGGGGGCTGAGAAGCTCCCTGGCCCCAGCTTCCTGATGCCAGGAGCCCCTCTGGCTGTGACAACCCCCAATGGCCCCTGGACACAGCCCAGGCCCCTTGGGCATAACTGACAGCCGGGGACACCCCTTGCTTTCTTTCTTCCTCAGCATCCTGGGACTTAATCTGGGTGGGGCTTGCGGTCCAGGGCCTGGTCACCACGCACGGCCACGCATGGGGTGTGGGGGCCGAGGACAGACTCCACGATTCCATCTACGGTAACAGCAGCTCCCTTGCCTCTCAAGGCTCAACCTACTCCCGCGAGCTTCTCCAAGTCACGACTCATGCTACCTCCGTGTTTAATTGTCGTTCTTCCTCCTAACGCGCCTCTGACAGGAATATTCAGAAAGACCCTATTTCTACCTCGTGTGGGATCGAGCAGTAATTACCCGTGACACACGTCTCGTCAAGTCACACGGAGAAGCCACCAGCTTCTCAGATGACACGTTGACTGCTACTCCCTTTCTACCCCCTTCCCACTCCAGCAGTGGCTCCAACAAAGTTTTTGGGTCTTTCCTGAACACCTAGGCTGGGTGTGGGGCAGCGGCTCTGCAGGGCTGCTCGGTGACGGACACACTGGATGGAGTGGGACGATCTGGGGAGACCTAGAACACATCTGTAGAAGTTTCTGGAACAAAGGCTCACGCCCCCGTGCCTCTCCGAGTGCGCTCTCCAAACAGGTCGTCAGCATCCTGTGGGCGGCACGTGCTGAGTGCAGAGTGGACGGTCCGGGGTGGGGGGGTGCTGGGCTGGGTGGACTCAGGAGAATGGAGACTGGTCTCGCAGGGACTGAGCCGCGTCCCTAACCTGCCGGATGCCAGGAGCACCCGATCATGACAGCCGTAGTTTGTAACGGCCACATACGTCCCCAGCATCAGGACCTGCCCTGCGAGACATGTGCTGGCCTGGCTTCCCACTCCCTGGGACAACCCCAACCCTGGGAACCTTGTTTCCCTGACTGCAGGCGGCCACCCCGCTCACGCGCGACAGGTACAAAGAGGGGCCCTGACGGTCACCCCGGGGAGAGTGAGGTGCCCTCACGGCTCGGCCCGTGATGCCGGGGGTCCAAGCTGACCCCCAGAGTGCGCGAGTTGGAAAGCGAAGGCGCGGCGGAGACAATAGAGGAGCAGCACAGGGATCTGCTGTTTCTGGAATCATCCGTGACCCGACACAGGAAGTCAGCCGTCAACACGACTGACTCCCGGTGTGGGCCTGAGGCGGGCACTCCAGGCTGGGGGTTTCTGGGAGCTTGGGGCAGGAGGGCATGAAAGGTCACGGCAGAGTGGAGCAGAGGTCGTGATGCCTATTTATTCCCCACACGTTTCTTGTCACCGTGGCTAGCACTCAAGTTAGGACACATCTCGCCAGACGTGGGACGGACTGCGGGTGGCTGGCAGTGGCCCGTCTTCCCACTAGTTACCTACAGCACGCACGTACTGGGTCTACCTCGCAGACGGCCCAGACCGTGAGGGAACCTCACATGATCCAGATGCCAACATTGGTGCCTGCAGACCTGCCCTCCCCCCATCCCGCCCAAGTGGAAGCCGTGGGCACATCTGCAGTGGCCCTGTGTCCTGGGCGGGCTGTCCGGCCGTGGCTGGCGCTCCTGCCCCGCTGGGAGCAGCTCTGGTGGCTGTCTGGCAAGGCTGAGGCGGGGGCGCCAGGGACCCCTGCTGGACCCCCAGCCCTGAACAGGGCAGGAGAGCCTGCCAGGGACCCAACATGCCGGCCGGCAGGATCGTCCGTGGACAGAAGGGCAGTGGGCTGGACACCCAGCTGGGGACGGGCTTGGGGTCTATCGGTCATGAGTACTGGGACAAGAGGATCAGAGATGAGACACGTGTCCATCCAAATGCTTGATTGGAAGTCAAGTCCCAGTACCTGGTCCCGTGCACCCCAGGATGGTCCCACCCCTGCTCCCAACAGGGGTGCAAGGTCACGGAAATCGTCTTTTAGGAAAATGTGTCTGAAGAGCTCCTCAAACGAAAACCCACGGTCTGAGGGGCAGGGCGGCCACTGGTGCCCAGACCGCGGCTGGCAGTGAGCTCATCCGAGCAGGACGCGGCTGGGGAGGCCAAGGTCGACTCAGAATTGGCTTCTCATGTCTCCTCTGAGGACGGACCACGGGGCTGCAGAAAGGGGCTCTGGGAGCCGTGGGTGTCCCCGACGCGGCTCAGCACAAAATGGGCAGGCTTCCTGGAGAGCGGCTCGAGGACGACCCCAGCCCAGCGCGGTCTAGAAGACGCTTCCCCGACGGAGTTTTCAGGGGGCTGAGAGAGGTCAGTGCTGGTCTGCGTTCACAGCTTGCTGGCTCTGTTTTGAGAAGGGTCTAGGGGCCGCAGGAGACTACAAACAGGGAGGGGACGGCGGAGGGAGTAAGAAAAATCCATCTTAACATGCAGGTCCGATTTCTGTTTCTTTTTCTCTCTTGAGTGGTCCAAGGGGAGAAGACGGCAAAATGCGACACGGCCTCCAGTCGGTGGGAAGGAGCTGGCGGCACGGGGAGGGCTGGGGGAGAAGACACGAGGGCCGCGAGTCAGCGCGACAGGACATCCCTGCAGGCTCGGGCTGAGAACGCGGGAACGCTGGCAAAGGTGTTTTGCAGATAAAGTTACGACGTAGAACGAAAGCAAAACTGATCTCAACCTGATTTTTTTTTCTCTTTAAGAATGCTTTGGGGGAGAAAAAGGAAGAAACACGAGCTCAAATAACGTTCGATGCTGCAGGTGGGGAGATCGGAGTTGTTTTCCTTGCTGCTCGATGGTTTTGGCATTTAAAACCTCTTAAACTATTTTTTTAAGTTTATTTGTTTTAGTAACCTGTACAGCAACACGGGGCTCGAACTCATGACCCCAAGATCAACAGTTGCGCCCTCCACAGACTGAGCCTGCCAGGTGCCCCGTCCTTTGAAATTCTTAACAGAAAATCACAGTAAAGGAGAGAGGAGGACAACGATGAGGTCTCCTGGGCACAGGATGAGTCAAGCGGCCCCGGGGAGGGGGTGGCCCCGAGCCAGCCATGGCCACAGGGACACCCAGTCTGTTTTCTAGCAATCCTGCTGTAACAGCTGCTTCCGGCAAACACACTCACACCCAGGCGAACCCCGGGCGTGCAGTGCCAGGCAGGGCGGGGCTGTCCACCTCCCTCCCAGGGACCTCACTGGCATTGCCGCAGCTGCCTCGGGGCTTCCCACACAACTGCGGCCTGCCAGCGCTCTGGCCGCTGCAGCCCTCATCTGCACAAGACGCACCTGAGTGACCGGCCCACCCACAGACACCCGCTGGGAAGAAACAGGATGCAAGAGGAAAACACCTGGAAAGGGACCTGATGATCCCAGACACCCCCACCACGGAGACCCTCCCCACCTCATGGACCCAGGGCTGTCAAAAAGGGGTTCTCCCCGCTCCGTGGCCCATGGGGACTCACGTGGGCGGTCACTCCTGCTGGTCGTCGTTGCTGGCACTGGGGGTCCGACTCCGGATCTGACTCCGGAGCTGTTCTATCAACTCTGGGTTCTGCTGCTGCATCTGCTGGGCGAACTGCTGGCCGCTGCGGGAGGGCCGGGCCCAGGCTTACCCAGAAGCCCGGGGCACCCTTCTGGCCACATTCCAGGCGTGTGCCCCCGCACAGGCAGTACGACTACTCACGGGAGGATGCGGGGCCGAGAGCGAGCCCAGGGACACAGCTCCTTGGTTCTTATGCTCCGCTCCCACCCCCCCCCCCCCCCCCCCCCCCCCCCCCCCCCCCCCCCCCCCCCCCCCCCCCCCCCCCCCCACCCCCACCCCCACCCTCGGGCCCCATGAAGCAGGTCTACTCACGCCTGGATGAGACTGGCCAGGTCGTTCTGTGAGGGGCTGGTGCCGGGAGTCCCCAGCGGGTTGTGGCCGCCCGAAATCATGCCGGACATGCTGCAGGGGAAGCCCACGATGAGACCGCCAGCCTGGCCGGCCCACTCCCGCCAGGCCCTGCCCTGCCCCCCGCGAGCAGCTGTATTACTGCCCCGCAGCCCCCCTGGGGCCCAGCGCCAGCCTGGCCCACCCCTCTCTGATGGGGGCTGCCGTGAACTCCACCAGCTCACTCAAGAACAGCCTTTGTTTTTGGCTTAGAAACAGGGGTTTTCAACCAGGGGCCAGGGGGCCAGGTCCGGGGATGCTGGGCTGCCCCGCCCCGATGGCAGCCTGCTGCGGAGAAGCTGGGCTTTAAGGTTTGACCACAACCTGGCAGTTCTTCAGGAAGTAAAACAGAATCACGGCATACCCAGCCGTCCCGCTCCTGGGTGTGGACCCAGAACATCTCCCGACACGCAGGGGGAGAACCAGACGCAAACGGCCACACGGGGTGTGAGTGCACACATGTGACACGCCCAGACCAGGCTCCTCCATGGAAGGGAAGGGGCTCGTTCACGGGGACCGGAGGCTGGGGAGGTAGGAAAGTGCCTCTAATGGGGACAGGGACTCTTTATGGGGTGATGGAATGTTCTGGAATGAAATGGTGATGGTTGCACAGGTGAATGTACTTAACGTCGCTGTACCGTAAACACCAAAATGGTTAAGGTGGCCAAATTCTGTTACGTGCATCCTGTCGCAATAAAAAAATAAATGTGACCCCAGACCCCAAGGAAGACAGCGGTTACTTACAGCTGCTGAACCTGTGGGTTGTTCATTAGGTTGGACGCCTGAAGAAAGAACACGTCATCAGACACGGCGCGCGCCACACAGCATGCTCGTGGGGCCTGCTCGACGCCTCTCCTGACATCCGCTCGCCCACGGTTTACTGCTTTGATCCTGCTCGGATCTTATCCCTCTTTAGGACCCATTTCAGGAGTGGCCGAGCGGGACACCGCAAGCAGCCTGCCTGGCGTGGCTCACGGGGGCCTGGCTAACCTCCACGAGGGGCCGGAGTTGAGGTTCTTGGCTCTGTGGCCCAGGCTCTGCCCTGACCACCCACCCGGGTCGCCACCGACGGACGGCGGCAGCCGTGCCCCAACACGACTACAGAATCCAGCCGGTCGCCGACCCCAGGTTCAGGAGATCGAGAGCTGTGACCACAGCCAGACTGAGTCCTCCTGCCCCGTGGTGGGCTTGTGCATACCACGCCAGCCCCCGGCGGTGCCTGGCCGTCCTGCCTGCCTGCGGACAAGGTGCGGCCCCCGCCGATGGAGGCGGCCAGCAGCTCCTGGTTGCCCTGCGGGGATCTCGCTCTAGTGGAGACCCTGGGCCCTGAGGTGTGGTGAGGGAGCCCCACTGTGGACACGTGTGTGGGCCAGCCCTGCACAGAACTAGCGCTTGCGGCCTTAAGTCGGGGTCTCACTGGGGGGGTGGTGCTGCCCCTGGGACATGGGGTGCTGTCCGGGGCCATCTGTGGCCGCCACATGGGGGCCGCTCCCAGCATCGAGGGGGTGGGGCTGGGATGCTGCTCCACCCATAGCACCCTGGTCACGCCCCCAGCGGGGGCAGCCCTGGTCCTAGGCAGGCGTACATAAGTGGACACGGGCGCGAGGCACGGGGCCCGGGGCCCAGGCCCCAGGGGACGCGGGAACGCAGGTTACCATGCTCATGAAGCTGGGGTTGTTGAGCAGGCCAGCGATGTCAAAGCTGCCGACGCCTCCTGTCTGTGGGGACGAGAAGAGCCCTGGTGAGTGGTCATGGGACCATGACACCGGCCCCCAATCGGAGACGGACAATCCCGGGGAGGGGGGGGCGGAGGGGTGGCGGCTGAGGTCCCGAGAGGCCTACGGCTCAGATGTCTCTCACCCAGCAGCCACGCCTCACGGCCAGACACCACCACGTCCAAGGCATGTGCCCCGGGGTTGATTGCTTGGGAAAAGTACCGCGTGAGGCTCGGACATCTTGGGCCCCCGCGGAGCCTAGAGGGCCCTCGGGGTGAGAAGTTCCCAGAGAATAATCACCCACCAGTCCATGGCCCACACCCCAAGCCCGACTGCCCCGGACTCCGATGGGGGTACTCGTCTAGCCTGTCCTAAGCCCACGCCCCAGTTTCCCATGGAAACCGGCCCACACCTCTCAGCTCCCACCCACTCCCTTCCCGGGGCCGCTCACGGGACTTGGCGTCTCCCTCAACTTCAGCTCGGCTATCTTGAGGTTCGACTTGTAGGTCTCGTTGTCAGGGTCCAGCTCCAAGGCCTTCTTGTAGTAGGCCACAGCCTCGGTGTGCTTGTTCAAGCTGGAGAGCGCGAGGCTGCGGGAAAGACGGCAGCGTGTGGGGCGGGGCCCAGGAGGCTGCCCGCCACGGCCTGGTGTCTGCTGGGGACGGCCTGCGAGGGCCGTGGGGGCAGAGAGGATGGACGTGTGGAAAGAATGCAAAGGCACAAGGGCTAGCGCCCGAGAGGACCCACAAAAGGGGACAGCCCAGAGGAGGGGCGCAGAGGCAGAGGGCAGGGTGGTCAGACGTGGCTGGCCCTGTTCTTGGCACAGAACTCTTAAAATCCGGAACTTCCCAGGTCACAGGCACTCCTGGTTTTCCTAACGAGGCTCTCTGATCACACCTGAGTTTATGCTCGTGCGGTGACCTGGGATGGGGCTGGCGGCCAGGAAGACCAGATCTGGGATTTGGATCCTATGACCCCTACACTCCCGGGAGCGGAGAAGGCTGGAGAATAAAACTGAACAATGAGATATGGAGAATGTCCCTGTTGGTGAAGGCATCACACCCCTTTCCAGGAGGACAGAACTCCCACCCGGGGACCCTCCTGGACGCTCCTGTGAAGCCCTTCGTCTGCATCCTCTATGAGAATGCACAAGTACGTTTCCAGCAAAACAAAGCAGCACAAGAGAGCGAGCCGTGGGGACTGATGTAGCAGCTGGGTCGGAAGGAGGGGAGGCCCAGATTCAGAACACGTGAATGGGGCCGAGTCCTGACTCTGTCTACGCAGATCAGGACTAAAGCAAACCACTGCACGTCGGCAGGTGGTGGGGGAGTGGGGGGCGGTCCCTCCCCCTGGGGCACTCACCCCATCCTGCCGTAGGCTTTGCTGTAGGACGGGTCTATGCAGATGGCTCGCTCACAGTCCTGCACAGCCCCAGTGTAGTTCCCGAGTTTGCTGTAAGCCGCGGCTCTGGGGACACAAAGCAGGGCGGGGCTTGCTCGCTGCGAAGGAGGAGCCTTTTGGGGAGGAGCCTAGGCCGCCCCGTCAGTCAGGTTGGGGTGGAAGTCGGGGGTACACAGGGCTGCCAAGGGCTTCCGTCTGCGGAGCACCTGTGCTGGGGGCTGTGCCAGCCTCCAGGGGAAACTGAGGCTGGAGGCCGAGCTGCTTGGCTCAACGATGCTGTGACGGGACTGGGATCTGAACCCCGAGTCCATGGGCCCAGCACCCAGGCTCCGCTCACCGTTGGGAGCGGGCACCCGTTCTAGGTCAGGAACTGTCTGTTGGCAGACACTAACTGACCCCCCGCACGAGCCCTGTCCGAGCTCTCGGGGGGTCTCCTCTCACGCCAGACGGCTTCTCGGACTGTTTCAGGTTTTAACACTGCACTTGGCGTTTCACCGCGTTCTGACGCACAGAAAGGCATCAGGTAGAAACACGGAGCGGCTGGGCCGGCGGAGGGCATGTGGGTTCTCGGGACTACGCGGGCCACTTTCCTGCCAACCTGTTCCCATCACTGCCCCCAAGAGTCAAAAGCAAGAAACTACAGTGACAAGTGGCTCTAGGCTGGCGACAGTGCACGGCACGCGGCACCCCGGGCCCCGGCCACCCACTGTCGGCTCCCAGGGCCGGTGCCCCGGAGCGCGACCCTGCGTCTACTCTGCATCCCAGAGTCTGCCTCGTCAGCACGATGGTCCGTCCTGGGGGCCAGGGCAGAGCGGAGGCAGCTTTCCCGGTAAAATGACCAGCCGGGGGCGCCTGGGGGGCTCTGTTGTTGGGCATCTGCCTTCGGCTCAGGTCATGGTCCCAGGGTCCTAGGATCGAGTCCCGTGTTGGGCTCCCTGCTTAGTGTGGAATCTGCTTCCGCCCTCCCACTCCTTCTGCTTGCGTTCCCTCTCTCACTGTCTCCCTATGTTAAATAAATAAAATCTTAAAAAAAAAAAAGAAAGGACCAGCCTGATGTGGCTTCCCACAGCTATGCTGCGGTGACCATGGCGTGAGACGTCACACGTGGTCTGGCTGATTTCCTGGACGCAGCATCTGTGCAGAAGGCTGCCCCCGATTTTAATCTAATGCTGTGCTCAGCTCCTGTGGACCCGGGCTGGCCACCTGCCGCTGACCTGGGGCTCTGGCTGAAGGATCACTAAGCGACGGTACGAACGCCCCTCCCGAGCGCACCCAGCCAGCACCTGTTACAGAAATAGACCGCGTTGGCCGGGTTCAGCTCGATGGCTTTGCCGTAGAAGTGCACGGCGGCTTCAAAGTTCTCCACTTTCATCTGCTCGTTTCCTAAAGAGAAAAAAAAAACCAGCGTACACCCCGCTGTTCCCGTCAGGCCCGAGGGCTCTGGGGCATCGGGGCGGCTCTCCGGGGGTTTCTCTGAAGGGGTGAGAAGACTTTGGGGGCCAGGCTGCAACACTTAAATGTAGGCTCAGGTGGGGGGTGGGCGGGTGTAGAGGAGGACGATGTGGTTTGCGTGTGGCATCTTGTGGGTTCTGGCCTGAGATGGCACTCTGACAACTGTCCCTGCTTTGGTTGTGACATTTGAAGACATAAGCCTCTAATATAGTCACTTTTGCTCCTGGGAAGTAACCAAGTTTCACGAGATGTAATTCAAATAACCTAAAACGCACATTTTCCAAGTGTACAACTCAGTGGTTTTTAAATAGTCACAGGTGTCCATCACCATAATCTAATTCCAGAACATTCTACCTCCCTCAAAAAGCACTGGTGACCCTATCAGCAGCCGCCCGCCCACCCCCTCCCCAACCTCTGACACACACTAACTCATTTCTGTGTCCGTGGAGGAGCCTGGTCTGGGCGTGTCACACACGTGGACTCACACCCCGTGTGACCTTCTGTGTCTGGTTCCCTTCCCGAGCGTCGTGGGCTCGGGGTCCGTCCCTGGGGCAGTGCATGGGGGCATCTTGCCTGTTTGTGGCCAAGGGACACTCCAGAATATGGACAGGTCATTCTTTACCTTTTTAACCCATTTATGGACATTTGGGCTGGTCTACCTTTTGGCTGCTGTGGACACACCACATTTCTCCTGGGCCTATACCTGGGAGGGGAGCAGCTGGGCCTCGTGCCCAGTGTGACCACTGAAGAACTGTCAGAATGCCTTCCACGGTGACTGCCCCAGCCACATTCCCACGGGCCACGCGGGCGGGCCCTGCTCTCCACACAGCCTCACCCCGTGCACCCAGCGGCCCCCATCTCCCGGAGCTGTGTGCTGCACGGGGCTTCATGCACTGCTCCCCCCTACAGCTGCCGCCCCCCCAGGGGGCCAGCCCGCCCCTGCCGTCCCCGCAGGCCAGGTGGGTGAGGGGCCTGGTGCCAATGCGACCGTCTCGTCTCACCTTCAGTTTTGAGGCGCTCTGCCTCAGCCGAGTCCTCCTCTGAAGGTGGGGTTCGCTCGGGGCTCCTCAGGTCCTGCGGCACCTCCTGGCCCCAAAATGTTGAGCTGCTTGAGGGGTGGCGGGCCACCCGACTGCCCGATTTCCCCACACCCCACACCCCCGGCCTCCCTTCTGCTCAGACCGCCTGAGAGGGCAGCTGAGCTCTGAGGGAGGGAACCTCGGGCCGGGGTGGCTGGGGGCAAGCTCCCGACTGCCCTGTCCGCGAGCCGGGAACCCCGCTCCACGGTGCCGGTCCGGGGGGAACACAGACCCCGCACAGGTGCTGCGGAGCACCCAGCCCATGCTCACTGTTACTTCTGTTCTGGGAAGCCCAGAGACTCACCTTGCCCGCGGCGGCTGCTTCGAATATCTCCGGAAGCGTCTGAGGGAGAGCGAGGTCATGGTCTTCCACAGTCACCCCAAAAGCGGTCTCCAGGCACTGGATTGCAACTGTGAACGGGACATAGGCATTTTCTTCTGAACGCAGCCCAGACTTTGGGACTTCGGGGCTCAGAGGGAGTCCCTCCCCGACGAAACCCAGGTCAAAGGCCTGGCACGTGGCAGAAGCCAAAACGCCACCTCCCACCCTATCGCCTGTGGGCGGAGCCAGCTGGACACCAAGGGGCTGGTGGTGGCGTCCGGGCAGAGGCCTGCTCAAGTGCTCGCCCGGCCTGGGCTCCTCACCCCCCAGCCCCAGGCGGCTTCCACCCTGTTTTAAGAGAGAGCCTTTCTCCTCTTATCAGGGGAGTCGCACTCATGGGGTGGGGAAGAATGTTCTGGAACCACCCCTCGATGAAAGATGGGGAGATGACCAGAACACCTGCAGGAGGCTGGGCCTGCGGAGATGGGGGCTGGCTCCGTGTGGCGGGAGGGCGGGCAGCGGGCCCACACGCACCTTCCAAGCTCTCCTGGGCGTCGGACGAGAGCCCCCCGTGCCGGAGCTGGTCGTGCAGGAACCGGACGATGGCGTAGGCCAGGCGCTTCTTGTTATCCATCTTGAGACAGGAAGGGACCACGCCTCGGGTTTTCGGATCTGCAGACCCAAGCCAAGGGTGTGAGGCGCGCACACGGGGGGCATGGGTGTTGCGGAGACAGTGCCCGTGGCACCTGCCATTCCAGGCCCCCCCAAACTGCTGGGCCCCGGCTCACCAGGCCTGCGCCAACCTCGGCCCCGAGGAAACCACTCGAAGTGCCTGGCACAGTCTACCTGCAGCACAAGTGGGGGGGAAACGGTTATGACCCCATTTCACAGCTGAGACCTGAGGCTCCCTGGGTGGAGGAGGCGCCCAGCCATCCTGCCTCCTCCTTCTAAAGAAGGCCCCGCGGCCTTGGCCGTCACCACCCTTTCACAGACTCTGGCACAAGGGGGCTCCCAGTGATGCGGAGGGTTGGCCCACAAGCTAGTCCTGGAGGTCTCCGAACCCCGTTTTAGTTGAGCACAAGCCAGCCCCCAGTCCCACCGGCTTCTGCACTCAGACTGAGGAACAAGGTCATGGGGGTGGGAGGGCACGAGACAGCTGGGGTCAGGGGAGGAGGGGCCCAGAGCAGACCAAGAGGTCCCAGAGGCACCAAGCCCCTTGCAGGCCATCCGAGGGCCTCTCTTGACCCCTCTGCCGTGTGCTGCACTCCCAGGCCAGGAGTGGTCCTGCCTCAGGGACTCTGGGCCATGTCTGGGTGCGTCTCTGGTACTCATGGCATCGGGCGGTGAGGGCCTGCTGCTCAGCCCCTGGCTTGCAGAATGTCCGCACAATGGAGAACTACCCTGCTCTAGCGTCAGCAGTGCCCAGGGGAGAGCCCTGCTCTGGAACATTCCAGGCGTGAGGGGTCTGCTACCTGAGGTTCTCTTATGGGTCAGGCACGTCACAACACTGTCTCACCCCTTCCACACCATGACCTCCACGGCCGCACCCGCCGACAGGCAACAGGTTGGGGACGGGGATCTGGGAGGAGTGGCCGAGGCCGCTCAAGTCCACGTGCACAGCCAGAACCCCAGCAGGAATCACCTCAGTCTCCCCAAAAGACCTCCGGGGGGGTGAACGGCCTGTGCCGCACAGAAAACAAGGAGCAGGCCTCCTGACCACCTTCTTGTGAACCTGCTATCGGACACTATGGTTAAGCAAAGCCGGGAAGAGCCCATCACGCGGCCCCCGGCTCTCCACGTGGAGACGGTGCCAGCACGGGGGCAGGGGGCCACTGGGCAAGGGCAGGCGAGACACTCGGTGCCGGCCGTGCACAGAGAGCTCAGGCTCCGGATCCTGGGAATCTATGTCCAACCACAGCTGCCTCTTAAGGAGAGGGAGTCAGACACAGGCCACAGGGCGTGAGTCCACATGTGTGACATGTCCAGAACAAGCACATCCATGCACGGGAAGGGGACTCGTGGGGGCTGGAGGCTGGGGGAGGGGGGAAATGATGGCTGATGGGGATAGAGTTTCCTTTTGGGGTGATGGAATGTTCTTGACTTTCAGAAAGGGGACAGTTACACGGCAGTATGAATATATACCAAAGTCTACTGAACTTTAGGGTACGTGAATTATACCTCAAAACACCTGTATTCTGGGGTGCCTGGGTGGCTCAGTGGGTTAAGCCTCTGCCTTTGGCTCAGGTCATGATCTCAGGGTCCTGAGATCGAGCCCCATGTCAGGCTCTCTGCTCAGCGGGGAGCCTGCTTCCTCCTCTCTCTCTCTGCCTGCCTCTCTGCCTACTTGTGATCTCTCTCTGTCAAATAAATAAATAAAAATCTTTAAAAAAACAAACAAACCTATATTCTGTAAAGCTGGTGAAGAAATTAAAGTTCTATGGGAATGGTAATGAGCTCCCCATTTCTGGACACAATGCCCATTAACCCGGCAAGCACTCGTGGCTGAGAGACTCCCTAGAACCAGAAGGTCTGGGATCAGGACGGGCCAGTGCTTGGAGGACGGACGTCCAGTCCTAGACCAGAGGACCTTAGGGGCGAGAGAGGGGCTCACAGAGCTCAACCATCTCAAACCATTCATTTTGGGGGAAGTCAAGCCCCAAAAGGTAAGTCCTGGTCCCCAGCTGAGAAATCAGTGCGCCTGCTCACCTCCACCTAAGGAGAGATGACTAACATGTCAGACTGTTTCCGTTTTAGGTATGTGTTTCGGCAGTGGCATTATTTACAGTAGCTGACAGGCAGCCACGACCCCGGCGGCTGTCCACGGAGGAACGGATCAACACGGTCCGGCCTCAGAAGGGAAGGGACCCCGAGGACACGGGGCTCAGGGAGAGCAGGCAGACCCAGAAGGACCCGTCCCGCAGGACCCCGTTCCCAGGAGGGCCCCAGAGGAGTCCCGTCCACGCAGACAGAGAGGAGAGCGTGGGGGCCGGGGATGGGGAGTCCGTTCTTCGTGGGGACAGAGTCTCCGTGTTGTGGGAAGGACAGTTCTGGAGACGGAGGGTGGAGGGGCTGCGGGACGGTGTGTGTGTGCTTCCCGCCGCTGAGCCGTGCGCTTAGGGACGGTTAAGGGTGTCTGGGGGGCTCAGTCGTTGAGCGTCTGCCTTCAACTCAGGCCATGATCCCAGAGTCCTGGGATGGAGCCCCATGTGGGACAAACTGCTCAGCGGGGCGCCCGCTCCTCCCTCTGCCTCTCCCCTGCTTGTTGTTCCCTCTCTCACTGTCTCTATCAAATAAATAAAGAAAAACCTTTTAAAAAAAAAGAAATGATTACGAAAATGCTAAACTATGTTATGTGTATCTTAACATAATTAGAATTTTGTTCCCTTTTGTTTTCAAAGTCTGAGGTCCTCCCCTTCAGACGAACAGTCCCAGGGCCCTTTGTGTGCTGTGTTCTAAGTCAGGCCTCGAGGGTCACATCTGGGCAGCTGCCTGTGGGCAATGAATCTTGAGTTCTTAAGTCACATAAGTGGCTACATCCCACCTCTGGGCTCCAGGCACCACTTCTGGGGGTGCTTCTCCTCCATTCCCAAGGGTCACTCATTCTGGGCTTTATGTATTCACGTGTGGTTATGGGAGGACAGGACTCAGTCTTCCCTCCCAGGGAACGGATGCGAGTCCTGATGGTGCCGGGCGCTTGCTCAAGAGCGGACTGAGAAGGGAAACCTGGTCTTCAGCAGACGTTTCCTACCCTCCTGGTCTGGATGGTGAGAGGGGGCGGGGGGGGGCAGCGTGTGACTACTGAGGCTTATGCAGGCAAGGGTTCAAAAACCTAAAGACCAAGTCACACTCCTTTCTGGCATACTTCCAGTCCTTCCCATGCCCCCAGCCCCTGGAGCCTCAAGGCCTTTGCACGAGAGGATCCCCTGCTCCCAACAGACTTGAAGCACCCTGGTCTGATTTCCCTGGCATAAGCTCTCACTGCCTCCTTCCTGGGCTTCTCCTGGTCTGTTGCTTGGTCTTCTTTCAAGTGCTGGCCCCTCCAATGCGACTCACTGTCTAGTCGGAGCCCCTTGGAGCCAGCCCTGGGCCTGGCGTATGGATGCCAGGCCACGGATGCCTGATTTGCCTGGGAGGACAAGGGCCTGGAGTCATGTCATAGGACCAGCCATTTCTGTCCGAGGCCCATTCCATTTCACTTTCCCCACCCTAAGCAAAGGAATGCTCTTTGTCCCATCTGAAAGAGTCCTGGCCAATACCCTCACTTTCCTCTTCCACAAAGTGGGTTAACAAGGGTGTCCTTACCAGCTGTTAAAAGAATTCACCACCCAGTGCAGGGTTTCTCTACCTCGGCACGATCGACATCAGGGGCTGGACTGTTCTTTGCTGGGGATAGGCAGCTGTCTTGTGCAGTGCCGAGTGGTAACAGCATCCCTGGTCTCCGTCCAGTGTGCCCAAGGTAAGGGACAGAATCTCCTCGGGGTGATACCCCTCAGGTCAAGGGGTTCCACTGACCCCCGGGAGTGTCTGAGTTCTGTAACCACGTGACTCCTGAGGTCCTGGGACACTACACACATTGAAATACACACACTGAGTGGGAGGGAGAGAGGGGGTGACTCGCAGATGCCAGGATCACCCTGGTTTGTACCCTCTGACCCCGGGGGATTTACTCTGGTGTCCAAAGTGAGCAGGGACCAGACTCAGTACTTTCCCAAATCATCAATGCAGGGTCTCTTCCGCTTGGCCCTAACATTAGGGGCAGGTCACTCTCACTGGGGGTGTCCTGAGCACTGTGGGGTTCAGCATCCCCGGCCACACCCCTTCAATGCCAGGAGCACTCCCTCCACAGCGGTAACAACCACAGATGTCCCCAGACATGGCCAAACCACCCAGCTGAAAATCACTGAAACTCTAAGTGGGAAAAATAAAGGCTCTAAATCAGCAGAAGCGAGATTTTTTTCTGGCCAAAGAACTTTGCTGTAAGCTTTCTGAAAACCTCCTGTCTGCACATTTTGGGCTTGTGCCCTGCAGCCAAGGACCATGTCCCCAGGGCGCGAGGAGGAACCCGCACGCCGTCCGACACGGGCTTCACACAATGCTGCTTCCTTGTGCGGCAGTCTGCAGGTCTTACCCACGCGTGGCTTTTGAGATGAACCACCTTCTGCTCCCCACAAAGTGGGGCCCAACAAAACACGGGGACAGCACTTCTCGTCGTCTCCCACCAGGCACCCGGAGCCGGCAGAACAATCCCAACTTGTAGGGCTTTGGCTGCCGGACAAAAGTCTCCGAGAAGGCCTCCTCTCTAACAGTGAGGGCTTTATGAGCTCCCAGCACCGCCGAACTGCCAGGCGAGCCTGGGCGGGGGGGTGTCCCGGGGCCAGCTCCTCCGGTGGTCTTCACAGTCCCTCCCGGCTCTCAGTCCACCTTCTCATTTCCTCATTTTATTTTCTTTTCCTAAATATTTTATTTATTTATCTGACAGAGAGAGATCACAGTAGGCAGAGAAGCAGGCGGGCGGGGGGGGGCGGGGGAAGCAGGCTCCCCGCCGAGCAGAGAGCCCGATGCAGGGCTCGATCCCAGGACCCTGAAACCATGACCTGAGCTGAAGGCAGAGGCTTCACCCACTGAGCCACTCAGGCGCCCTGATTTCCTCATTTTAAAAATAACAACAACTTCTACTTCTTTTATTTGCCTGCCCAGGACTCGTCAAGGGGGAAAAAAAACGTGTGTTTTTCCACCCTGGACGGTGGAGCGCCCACTGCCGAGGGCTGCCTGCCTCCAGCCGCACCCAGAGCTCTGCCCACAAACAGCAGCGTGCAAAGCCAGTACCCCGGTGCCCTCTCATCCCAGCACACCACCGGTGTCCGAGCAAGGGCTGTCCCAAGGCTTGAGCCCACCACCCTCACCACAGCCTGCTGTCTTCTAAAACGCCACCAGAACGTCCTGCATCCTTGAAGACCATCGAAAGCTCCTGAAACTTCATGAGTGCGCATGGGAAGCCCTTCACCAAACCCTCAGTGTCTCCACTCAAACCCAGCCGCTCACAGTTCCTCCAGCCCACCTGGAAACTCTTGATTCCCTACGACACCGAGCTGCAAAGTTATCTCAGAGCTAGACGCCCTCTTTTTTCCAGCAAAGTCCAAGCACCAGCCTTATCACTGGCCCAGACGGCTTTGACCCCCGGCCTCACCCAGACTGGGAGCACTGGACAGACATCTTCGCTTTCAACGCCGCACTCAGCAGTGTTCGGATTTGTACGGTCCTGGGAAACGGTGAGATCCCTGTCAAACCCAGAGCCCCTGACCAAGTTCCCCGGGAAGCCCAGAGGAGACGACAAGCCCTGGGCCTTGCCTGCCTACCAACGACGGCCTTCATTCCTACAACCCCCCAGGCTGAGCGTCGCCCACAGAGGCCAGTGCTGGGTCTTGGCAAAAAAAAAAAAAAAAAAAAAAGGGACAAAGTAAGTAAGACAATGTAATCTCGCAGTCTGGGGTGGAGGCAACCCCACTGACAGTCGCTCACCCGTCCTCAAAGACCGATGGTGAAACTTAGGTGAAACCCTTGGCGTGCTGAGCACTTTCCCGGCCCCGCGCTCAGCGCAGCCCTCGCAATGGCATATGGAAGGGGTCCGCGATCACTTTCTGAAAAGGGCCACAGGGCTTCTGTGGAAACCACACACCTTTGTTCTTGGGCAAAAGCTGTCACAAGTTTTGGGACGGACCGCCCCGCCCCCCACTTCACAGAAACAGGGCTGCTCACAGTCAGCCGAGCCCCTGGGTTGTTTGCACCAATCCCCATTATACAGAAGGAAAAACTGAGGCTCTGAAAGATGGGGGGGCTACCCGAGGTCATCCAGCTTAGAAGACCCAAACCAGGAACTTTGAGCCCAGCAGTCGGATTCCAGAGCCTAAATTCAGAAGCGCCCTTTCCTCTCCAGGCAAAACCTTCACATGATCTCCTGAATTCATACCCCACCCCCCTGTGTGCCGCTCATGCTGGTGGAGAAGCAATGGTCCGGGGGAAGGTTTAACTCCCCGCTGTGGACACCGCGACGGTTCTCCGTGGGAAGTCCGGGGCACCCTGGGGTGTCAGGCGGCTTCCCTGCGCCCCACCCACTTGCTGCCAGGAGCACACCCAGTCGTGGCAACAACAAATGACCCCCAGACATTGCCCTGCGTCCCCCAGGGCAAGAAAACCACTGGTCTGGAAAAAGGAAAAGCAGACAGCCCAATCAGACACAGAAAACCAAAGGGAACCGGGACATCTTCCCGCCTAAGGACTGCACACATTTTCTGGCACCTAATAAACCAGCCATTCTCCAGCAAACTCTTAACAAGCAGCAGGAACCCGAGCAGAACATGACCTGCTTATTAACCTCGCAGAGAGCCTAGGAAGCACGTTCTTCTGGGGTCCCTGCTGCAGAAGAAACGCGCTGCTCAGAGAGGGAAGCGATGAACCCCAGCTCATGCAGCCAGGAGAGGGGTGCAGCCGGTCCTCGCCCCGGCTCCTTCACGCCGCCAGCACAAACGACAGAAGCCCCGGGCTGGGAAAGGCGGAACCACCGCTCACCCCACCAAGCTCTCACTCTGCGCTGGCCCTGTGGCTTTCATCTTCCCAAGACCGCCACCCCTCACCCCCCACCCCAACCAATCAGGCAGGGACCGTGATGACGCCCATTTTACTGCGGGGGAAACTGAGGCTCCGGGGAGCCAAGAGGCTGGCCAGGTGGAGAGTGGCGGCGCTGGGAAAGGACCCCGACCCGCGCCCCACGAACGGGGTCCCCATTCAAAGGGACTGTGTTTCCGGGAAGCAGAAGACACCCTCACTGCTAGCGGGACACTTCGACTCCTGCTGTCCAACCACGGGCCTGCGACCAGCATCTCCCGGGCCTGGGGTCCGGGATAGGATGACCAGGGCCGGCGAAGGCCTGCCCGACGCCACCCTGCCTCAGTTTCCCCTTCGCGCCGCCCACTCACAGCAGCCAGTGGATCGCGGGATCCTCACCCCAGACCAACCTGTCTTTACGGGCCCTGGAGACCCGCGAGTTCCGAGCCGCGGACCCCCAGGCCCACCCCGCTCAGCGCCGAGCCCCCCCCCACGACTCACCTCTCAGGCGGCCGAACGCCGACCCACCGACGGCTGCGCCTGCGCACCGCGGCGCTGCCCGGCCCCGCCCCCGGCCGCGACGCCTGCGCGGAAGGAGCCGGCTCCCGTTGTGTTTTCTCCTGCGCAGGCGCGTTAGTGATCGAGGCGGGCGTGGGGAGAAGTGACGTAACTTAGAGGTGGGGGCGAGCTGGTCGTTAGAGCAACTGACCTCTGCGACCGAATGGAGGCCGGAAGTCAGGACGGAGTTCCCCTCTCGGGCGGGAACGGAGCGGTGCATGGTGGGACGGTGGCGGACTCCGGAGCGGTCGGCAGGGCCGGTCACGTGGCACCTAGCCGGCCACGTGGTGTTGCGGTGTTTGGGTAGCTGGCGCCTGGAGCCGCGCAGGCGCTGTGTGCAGGGGAGCGAGTGTTCCCCGCAATCTTTTACACTTGCTCACCCACCCGTCGTCCCACAAACGCATTCTCTCGGTCATTCAACGCATGGGACGTAAAGGAACATCTTTGTTTACAACAGGTGCCCAGTAGCCAACAAATACGTATTGCAAACCAACTGTAAAAACCAGGGGAGTGTTTGCTCCCGTTCCCTTGTACGGGCGTTGATGAGCTGCAAGGTAGTGCACGGGGACGTAAACTAACCCTTTCCACTGGATGGCGAGCGCTATAAAGACAAAATGGCGTGCCCGGATTATGACTGGGGAGGCAAGAGGGCCGGCATGGTTAGGGAAGATCTACCTGGTAGAGATGGGTTTGGAGGATGAGGAACAAACTCCGGGAACGGAAAACGGCGAAACTGAAGACTCACAACTGGTCACCGTTAGTGTTAAAGTTGCAAGTAGTGTTCTCCTAATTCACTTTTCTCCTATTTATTTTTTTAAGATTTTGTTTATTTATTTGAGAGAGAGACACACAGCGAGAGAGGAAACAAGCAGGGGGAGTAGGAGAGGGGGAAACCGACTCCTCGCTGAGCAGGGAGCCTTCTGTGGGGCTTGATTCCAGGACCCCGGGATCATGACCTGAGCTGAAGGCAGATACTTAAGGACTGAGCCACTCAAGGGCCCCCTTTTATCCTATTTAAAACGCAGGCATAGGGACGCCTGGGTGGCTCAATTGGTTAAGCAGCTGCCTTCAGCTCAGGTTATGATCCCAGCGTCCTGGGATCAAGTCCCACATAGGGCTCCTTGCTCAGCAGGGAGGCTGCTTCTCCCTCTGCCTGCCTGTGCTCGCTTTCTCGCTCTCCCTCTCTCTGACAAATAAATAAAATCTTTTAAAAAAATAAAACGCAGGCATATTTTTAAAAAGATTTTATTTATTTATTTGACAGAGATCACAAGTAGGCGGAGAGGCAGGCAGAGGGGGTGGGGGAAGGTGGCTCCCTGCCGAGCAGGGAGCCTGATGTGGGGCTCCATTCTAGGACCCTGAGATCATGACTTGAGCTGAAGGCAGAGGCTTTAACCCACTGAGCCATCCAGGCGCCCCAAAACACGGGCATATTTGAAACCCGGAGTCCTTTAATTTCTTTTGCAGAAATAGGGGAGTGGGGTTTTTGGCCACTTTAGCTCTAGGAAATTTTCCTACCTGGAAGGAAGGACGCCTTAGTTCAAAATTTTGTTTTAATAGACGACAATAGTTATAGGTTAGGATACTGCACCGTTTCAAAACACCTGTTGTTTGAAGTCCTGGATTCATTTACTGAAGCTTTCTCGACTTTTTAAAAAACTGCCTTTAATTTAGGGGATTCACCGGATTCTGCTGATGTATGTGTCCCGCCTCTATTCGTTCCAAGCCAGAAGCTGGGCAGGATGATCTTTGGGATAATCTACAAAAAGCGCCCGAATCTGGCCACTAACTCAGGTGCGGGAGAAAATCTGCACAACTAGCCAAATACACGGTTATAGCAGTAGAAAGGGAGCGAGCACAAACGAATACGGGACCTAGAAGCCCTGGCACAAAAGTCTGGGCAGTAAGAACCGCAAGCACCCCGGCTTCGGGGCGCCAGCTGTGTGTGGTTTCCATGGAAACGGCCCTCGAAGGTTCCGCCCTCTCGCCGCCAGAACCAATCAGGGCCAGGGAGGGATCCAGCGCAGGCTTAAAGTGCGTCAGCCTGCCAAAGCACCGCCTCGGGGATGTGGGTGGAGCTGGGGCGCGCATGCGCCCTCTCCTTCGGCGCACGCGCCCTCCCAGCATTCAGCGGGCGCGCGGGCGGCGGGCACCTCGGTCCCGGCTGCTGCGGACCCGGAGCGGGCGGAGGCGGCTGGCGGCGGCAGCTGAGGCAGCGCGAAGTGGACCAGGTGGAGGGAGGGGCCGCCGGTGCACACCCGCCCGCCATGAAGCCCCCGGCAGGTACCGGCTGCCCCTCGGAGCGGACCCGCTCAGCGGCCCCGGGCGTCCCCTGCACCCTCGCGCCTCCCGGGGACTCGGGCCTAGGAGCCGAGCCCGGTGGCCCCCGAGGGGCGGGGGCCTGGGTGGGGGGAATGGGTCGGCGACCCCGGGACCCCGGCCCCTCGGCGGCCGAATGAATGAACCCGCTTTTCCAGCGCTTCATCGTTCGGCCGCTCCGTGTGCGCGGCTTCAGCCGAGCGCGCGTCGGGCCCCGAGGGCGGACGCCGGGGGACTCCGGGGGACACCGTGCGTTCCAGGCGGCATTCGGAGCTGGAGCCGGGCGTTCCAGCAGCGGGGGTCGGGGGTGGGCTGACGGCGCTTCTCCCGAGAGGGCGGCCCCGAGGGGCTTCTCGGAGGAGGCGGCCCGAGTCAGCCCGGACCCCGGGGGGAGAAGCAGGGTGCTGCCGTGACCCGAGCGCGGGCCTCCGCGGGCGGCGGGAACTGCGAGGGCAAAGGCGGGGAGGCAGAACGCACCTGGGAGTCCCTTTTATTTTAGGGGCCGAGGGGCGTCGTGAAAGGGTGTTCGTTATGGGAGCGACGGGATGTCCTGTGTTCAGAAAGTGGCCCGGGTCGCTGTGTGGTGCCCCCTGAGTTTTCGCTTGCTGACCCCCCCCTCCCCGTTCTTTCTCCAGCCGACCGTCGTGCTGATTGCATTAAAGAGGATCGTAATTAGGGTTACTCGGGCCTCAGGAGGGCGGGAATCTGGCCTGTCTTGTTTGCGGCAGGTCGTTAGCCTGGGACCCGGCGCGGAGGCGGCCGCGGAAACACCGCGGATAACCGGTCTGCTCCAGTCTTTCAGGTCCCGGCTCCTCCCGGAGATTTTGCGGGCCGCTCTCCGCTTACCGCGTCTCCTGTCCTGTCCGCTTCTGGAGCCGTTGTTTACCACCACGTGTAACACAGACCCACGTCCTTTCTCCCTGAGCTCACGGCAGTCCGTTCGCCAGAATGTCCGGCCTGTCCTGGCTCAAGCGCCCTTCTTTTTCCCACTTGGTTTCTGTTGGGGGTCCTCAGCCCGCGTGATTGTGCCACGCCAGGGCCCACTGGGCAGTGTGTGGGGACGACTGCGGGCGCTCCTGACATGGAGTGGTTGGGCACCAGGGGTGCTGTTCAGTACCCTACAGTGCCCAGGGCGGACCCCCACCCCAGACAGTGACCCAGCCACAGACGTGGATAATGCCATTAAGAAACCCTGCCCTTGGGGCGCCTGGGTGGCTCAGTGGGTTAAGCCACTGCTTTCGGCTCAGGTCATGATCTCAGAGTCCTGGGATCGAGCCCCGCATCCGGCTCTCTGCTCTCTAGGGGAGCCTGCTTCCTCCTCTCTCTCTGCCTGCCTCTCTGCCTGCTTGTGATCTCTCTGTCAAGTAAATAAATAAAATCTTAAAAAAAAAAAAAAAAAAAGAAAGAAACCCTGCCCTAGAGATGCCAAGCGCCTGTCCCAGCCGGCAGGGCCCTGCAGAGATCCTGTCCCTCTTCGGCGTTCACAAAAAGGCAGGGGGTTCAGGACCACTGGGGCCCTGCTTAACTCCCTACCGTGCCAGAGGGGAAACGGGGCTCAAGTGGGTGTTTCCCGGAGCAGCTTCTGCTTGCTGTTCATTCCATACTCTGCTAGGGGGCAGTCACACAAGCCTGTGTTCCTTAGTTCAAGTGATTCAGGGCAGCCGTAGTCCTGTGAGACGCCCAGGTGCTGCAGGGATGCCATTGGGATATCTGAGAAAGGAACATGGAACAGAAGATTCCATGGGTTGGGGCTCAGGGTAGAGGGGTTAGCCTGTGGGAAGGCCTAGGAGATTCCTTGAAGAAAGAGGGTGTGTCTAGGCACAGGGCAGCTGGCCAGACCCGCCGTGCAGGTCCCAGTAGAGTCTGCGTGGTGTAGACCAGGGGCGGTAGAGGGCTCGCTAGTGTAGGCTTGGCGGGTCACACACTCGGTCTCCTGCAACAGCATTTTGACCCTGTGAGCTGTACAAAAACAGGTCGTCTTTTGCCAACTCCTGGTATAGACTTCCAGTAAGGGTTGAAGCGGGTGGGGCCCTGGAAACGGGGCAGGAAGCTCTGACAACTGCATTCGTGCAGAGGTGGGGGTGCACACGCTCCGCTGATTCACAGAGTTGAAGCCCAGGTCAGACTGCACAGGTATGAATCCCACCTCTGCCACTTGCTGATGTGGGGTCGCAGTGTGAGACTTGAATTCTCCAAATCTCAGGACCTCCATCTGTATGGCAGGGGCCACAGAGGACCCAGAACCGCGCATCTGTGAGGGAGTGAAAGTAAAACATCTTTACCCTGAACACCGCACAGCAGTTTAAGGGACCGTTGTTTTCACAGACCACAGTCTCTCGTCCAAAAACCCTTGGGGCCAGGGGTGTTTTAGTAATCAGTAATTTCCCTTGTTTGAGGAAAGTAACATGGTATAAACGTCCTGTTACGTCAGGGGATGTCGGGGGTAGCCCCCCGTGATCAAACGAGTTAACTCAGAGGAAGGTGTCTACCGCGTATCCACACCGCCCTGCCGACGTTGGGGCTGGGCCATTGTGGGGTGTCCTGGAGCCGAGGGGGTGTTGAGCAGAATCCCCGTCCACCCCCCGCTCGATGCATAGCATCGCTCTGCAGTTGCAACAAGCACAAGCGTTCTCAGATCACAGCCGAGTTTGTGTCTCCTGGGATGCAAGAGCTTCTGCTTTA